TGGGATTAAATTCCTGCTGGCCCAGAAGGTGGGTGGGAGTGAGGGATGGCCATACCTCCATTCACCAAGAGGGTGTGGGGTATAAGAGTAACAAGGGGAATACTCTGTCTTTCTAGTCGCTGGCATCCGGAATGTCCTTGTGGTTCCCAGCAAGTGGAGCCTATTCTTAAGTCCCTGGAATCTTGGAAAAAACTGTCGCTTTAAATATCCAAAATGGCTGAACTGCTCGTAAACATTCAAAATGGCTGCACCCTCCAGACAGCCAAAGGTCCACAACTCCTTCCACCACCTTCCTCTTCACTGTTTCCCCTTTTATTCACCAGCCACCAGTACAGTCCTCTGTGCAGTCCCTGGCTAGCAGGGCTAATTTTTAGGTTAATTCTTAGGTTGTAACACCACCTGGCAATATCCAAGCTGTCTGTGCCATCAGGATTGTTGCCAAACTGTAGCTCCGTATGTCTCTTTTTTTGGTGTTTTCATGCAAATTCTTCTACTAGTCGGAGTTTAGTCTACTTCTATATCCTTCCCTTCAAAGCTCAGGGTGACAGGATTCTCTTCTGTATCTGTGTTAATTGGTTCTCCTTTTCTTTGCTGAAGAAGGTTTGTGCAGTCTTTCAGCCTATTCTGCCATCTTACTAGAACTCCCTCAAACTATTCAGCTGTGAATAGGAAATGAACAAACAAGAGGTTCCGTGGTCAGACAGGATTAGAAATGTATACTGCATTTCCTGCTCACAAAGTCACAATACAGATACAAATATTAGAGGCCCAGAGAAATACTGCAGTAAAGAAAGCTGTCCTTATGGAGTTATATGCTAGTGGGCCACAGTCTCTCCTATCTTTGCACTTTGCAGAACCAGTTTGAGAAATACTAATTTCAAGGGACACATGAGCAGACAGACACATGGGGTGAACCTTTTTGTACTCTGCCACTGTTTGGTCCCCACATCAGCAATCCATCTCTTCATAGTCCCTTCATTCAATGTAGGAATTTTCCTCCTCAGATTAACATAGGAATTCTGTAAATAAACAAAAAGTAAAGCAGAATAATGTAAGCACAACATAGCCAGGTTACCCAACTTTTGTGCACATTCTAAGAATACAAGGTAACACTGCTCTTTAAGTGTGGTAATACAGCTCTAAGGAGCTTTAGTGGTATAGTGGTCAAGGCATTTGACTGCTAACTAAACTGTTGGTGATTCAAACCCATCAGCTGCTCTGTGGAAGAAAGGTGAGACCAACTGCTTCTATAAAACTAATGGATGTTGCTATGAGTCAGAACAGACTTGATGGGAATGAGTTTGGTTTTTGTTTTGTTCTGTTTTTCTGGAATGCAGCTCTGGGACAATCATACAGTGAGATTGTACCAGTAGTAATCAATCATATTTGCCTGGTTCCCAATTTCTTGTTCAAGGGGGTTGCTTAGAGCAAAAATCATTTTCTCTGAGTGGTCTAACACTCACTCTTTCAAACAAGATAAAATCAGATTAAACTGAATACTACATAGTCCTGATAGAGAGATCCTAAAAGGCTTGTATATAAAAGGGGAAGGAACTCACTTTGTCTTGGTGAAGTAGGGCAGGGGGCCTATGTACTGGTTATACATAAGCCAATGAATCTCAGGTCTTTTTTAAGTACTGGCTGGTAAAGTCATTTTAGAATATATCCACCAGCTGGCTCACTAGGGCACTGATTAAATTCTTTTAGCAAGTACAACCCCACTCCCACCCCCACCCCCACCCCAAAAGTAAGTAGAGTCTAAAGAAATCTGATTCAACATCTACTAGGGATAACTGTGCTGATTTTTGTGGGTAACCCATTAGGCAATAAAGGATCAAGAACATCAAAGCTATTCTACAGTTTCAGCCTTGTAACCTGATGTTTTTGGAAACCTGAATTGTGGCACCTTTTATTTTGCTTAAGATATCAAGTGCCTTAGGCACTACACCACCAGAGGTCCTGTAACCCATCCTCAAATGAGATTTTAACCACTAGCATAGAGGATAAGATTTGCAACATACATTTTAGGGGGCACAATTTAATTCACAACAATGACCAATCACCTTCTACAGTCTGAAATTGACCAAACATGCCATCAGGATGTGTTAATTATCACTGGTGACTGGAATGCAAAAGTTGGAAACAAAGAAGAATCACCGGTAGTTGGAAAATTTGGCCTTGGTG